GTGCCAGCTATGGGAGCTTCCTCCTGAGCTAGAGGCTACACAAAGCTCTCATTTGTCTTTGTTCTAAACACAAATTTAGGGGTTCAGAGGACTTATCATAAAGAGATCATGATCTTTGTAAATAAAATAAACAGATTCATAGATAATCCTATATTTTAATTTAATGTTGTCCACAGTGTAATTATTAACAGTCTACAGAGTGGGAAGTATTTTTTTTTTTCCAGGCAAGTACAGACTTGTAACTTTCTCTGCCTAAGTATTTCAATTATATGGTAAACAGCTCTTGCACTGAGCAAAATTAACGTGTACTTGTTAGAAAACACATATTTTGAAACAAGTTCTGAGCTGAAAAGGAGACTAAGTCCTTATTTCATGTTTCGTAACACAACACCAAACTTTAATTAATTCTTCAATTTGAAAAAGTGGAAAATACATATTATGTGCTGACCCTCTTTTTGTGCAAAAATATTTTTATCATAGAAGTATTTCAGTGAAAATGAATCAAGACAAGTTGAACTTCAGAACTGAGTTACTGAGCAGTTTTGTGCTATTACAGCAGGACTCATTCCTGTTTCCACTGGCATCTTTAAAAATGATGAGAATTACCAGTTTACAGACTAAGAGAAAGGGATATTTTACCTGCAAGYTTCCCATTGGCTATCATGTTGGTTGCTACCAGTTTAATGGTGCTTTGAGATGGCCCTGATGAGGTGACAGTTGTGACCAGGCAAGCTTTGAGTGAATCACAGTAATAGTGAACATTGTCTGAACTGGTTTCCAACAGCAGTTGCACTGCTCTGTCAGTCTGGCAAGAGAAAAAAATGCAACTTTGGTTACAAAACACTCAATTTTGTTTAAAAGCCTTTCCATTTTTTACTCTTTTTAAGACATGGGAAAAATAACAATGAAAGTTATTYGAAAACAGGCTATAAAAATATCTCCCAGTCTAGTAATGGCTGAGATTCTATTTCAATAAGGCACTCGTAATAAGGAYGGCATTAAAAACCCATCATGAATTTAACATACTAAGAATGCAAAAACTTTGCACTGAGTTAATACAAGTAGGAAATAACAAATACAGTTTAAAAATGCTTTACTTGAATAGGCTAAATACACCAAACAGGGAAGAAGAATAAAAAATTCAAATATTACCCACAAACCTGGCCCAAGAGAAGAAGCTGATCAGCACATTTCCTGGTATGATCATACGTTGATCTCTTCACTTCCTGGAGATTTACCCTTTCCAGCTGGAATTTCTGGACAAAGAAGGAAAAATATTTAAAATGAAAGCCTACCCAAAGAAATAAAACAAGGCATTTGAAAGATAGGTAAATATCCTGATAGTTTTTGGAGCACCCTCTATTTTTAAGTACCAGGAATGTTTTAATCCAGACTAGTATGTTACAAATAAAAGTGAAATATGAACAAGGAAGTGCTTATTGTGCTGATGACATTCTTATGAAATTTGGTTTTGAACTCTTTGACATACCTGGAAGTAAGAATTTTCACACAGTATGTCATAGCATATATCCAGAGGATTAACCAACTGCTCTTGAAGGATGGCTGTGTCTGATTTTGCAGCCTTCTCCTGACACAAACTGTGCAAATAGTGGGCAGCAACAGTCCAGAAATGCAGTTCAGATTCATCCCCATAGAGCCTGAGAAGAAACAAAGCAGGATGTGAAACAGGTTTGTATTTTTCCATACAACATATAAAAATATCATACATTTAACTTTTTTAAAAGCCTATGCATTCTTGTGGACACCACAAGTACTTTGCATTACCAGTGGGACAAACTACAGGAGAAGATTTAGGAAGGTAAGTTATAACAGCAATTAAACTCTGGGAATGTTCAGCATAGGAATATGTGGAAATTGATATTTATTATTAATTTATACTTAATTGCTGATCTCCTCTTTCAGCCACAAGTTACTAAGTTTGAAAACCATCTCTGAGTACAGACAGACTGAAATTAGATCACTTTAGGCAGAGGAACCACACACAATAAATACAGTTGAAATAAATCCCAGGCCTTCCCCTGTTTGGATAGAACTATTGTGAAGTTCTAAATGGCATTTTGGGCCATAAACAACTAAATGCAATGTGGCTGCCAGAACTGCAGTTATGAAAGTGCCAACAAGACTGAGGGAAGTTCTCTGTATCCAGCAAGCAAATAAAACTGAGTATCAGTAAGGTAGCATTTCCATTTAGGTCCTAAAACACTCTAATATATGGGTAACAAAGTAGTTTAAGAATTGCACTGAGTTAAAAGACAACTGAGTGAGTACCTAAACTTCAGCTCATTCCTATGCATTAACAGCAAAGAGATTCTCCTGGGAAACATTTCCTCTATTTATCTGAATCTCCTACCTGGCAACCAGGAGACATCTCTGAAGGAGGGTAAAATCAGGATCAAGCAGAAGCTTCTTTATGTCACTGCAAAAGAGAAGAATCTAAAATGCTGTGCAAGGTTTTTGTTTGGTTGGCTTCAAACACAAGTAAGATACATCACATACAAACTAAATAAAATCAAACCTCAAAATACACAATTTCTTTTCAGAAATTTAAAAATGCATCTATGAAAACAATTACAACAGGCATTATATGTAATTTGAAATATAACTGATTTCCAGAAGCAAGTCCAGTGAATTCACCAGGAACTCACTGCCCTTGCAATATAAGGAAACGCCACCAGGGTGTATGCAAAGCTGTCAATTAAACTGCAGTAATTCCACTAATTACAATATTAATTCAATTAGAAATAATCTTGCAGATACGTAGTGTCACAACGTAAGGGATACACATGCATGAATTTAGATTTTCCACAAATGCTTCAGACTGGATAAAAATATGCTGTTCCCCTTCCTGACCTACGACGTGAAAGGACAAAAGGAAAATGGAAAAACTGTAATTTTCATGGTTTAAATGGAACGCCGAAATCTGTACTCTGTGTAAGCAGAGCAATGTGCATAAGCATTACTCAGAAATTATATCATTTACAGAGAATTTTTAGTATTGTACTTTCTTCCTCAGAGCTCAAACATCCTAACAAACCTTAGGGTATTTAAGTAGCAGTTTCCAGTGCAATCTGGATCACCATAAAGAACTGTAAATCCCTGAGAAGCACTGCTTAAAACATCCCAAATACTCACAGGTCAGTCACTGACCCTATAAGTACCATATACTGACCCTATCAGGAACTTTAAAGCATCAGTTTTAAGGGTTACATAAAAATTAACTTTTTTAATTTTTTTAACAGAAACTATCATTACTCAAGCTTATCTTTAGAGAGGCAAAAAGCATCTCTCTTCTTTAATTGTCAATTGCCACAAACTTCACATTTTTTGCCCTCTCAGAATTCCATAGCTTACACAAGTAATAATAGGAAAATTCTTACTTGGACAATGAATTCAACTGTTCTTGAAGAAGGTTTTTAATATTTTCATTCTCTGGATAATCACTGGATTAAAAAAAAAAAAGAAAAAATAGAGTTTCTCTGTATTACCAAKATGACAGATTTATCTGAAATAGAAGAGCACTACTTGTAGTAGGAGAAAAACACAAGCACATATATGGAAACAATCTTTCACATTCTTTTTGAAAGCTCTTCATACAAGATTCTGTATCCAGTTAGCAGCTCCAAAATAGCAGTGAAAAACTGGGTTTGCTTTCACGCAAGCTTAGAGTGAGTGCCAACCTTTCTTCTCCCATTTTTCTTTGATTCATTCACCTTAAAATCAATAAAAATGGCAATGCCTAGAGCATTATTATGTGACCAAGAGCACAGGCCAGGACACAGAAATGTGCTCCTATGATGATGTGAAAGTGGCTCTCCAAGAGCACAGACATTTATTAAAAAACAGAGTATCRCTTTCATTTACACTTTAGGAACCACCTCTGACTGCTGCATTAACTTCTAGAACAAAGAGAACACACAGTTTTTCTCAGAAGTAATATAATGCCATAAAAATCTTGCCAGTACTTAAAGCAGACTGCAGTTTTTAATAGCCAAGTGCCACTGAAAGCCAAAAGAAATACTTGACCTTAGAGCCTYATCTATTTATTACTTTTAGTAATAAATAGTGAATTAATTCTCTTTTTGACTGTCCCYGAGAGCAAGGAAACTTCTACATCTAACAATTACTTGCACAGAAAGACTAATAAAAGATGTAGGCTTTAAAAAATAATATTATGTTATACAGAGAACTGTATTTCTTCTTACATGTCCATAATATCTAGAGAATATTTCTCATCCCAMGGTTGATGCAGCAGGAATGCTTTTAAAGCTAATGAAGCTCTTGGAACAAGCAGGTAGGGACACCAGACAGGTTCTGAAACAAAAGGAAAAAATTCATTGTCGAGAAGCTCATGTGCACTAAATGCTGTGTTCAGGAATCAGAAAAGTAGCTCCAGAAAATGTACCAGCAGAAAATGTACACCAGATGTGCCACAGAAAATGTCCCAACAGAAAATGTGCCACAAAAAATGTCCCACCAGAAAGTGTCCCAGCTTGTTTGCAAGCACCAGGAAAATCATAAATAAAAGACTTTTCATATACCCAGCACAGGTTGCCAGATATAAAAGCTTATCTCCACACTCCAGGAAAAACAYTTCATAGAAGGTACAGGGTTATCAGCCATGCTCAAACGAGAATTTCAGGACATTCCMTCATGAATTTAGCCACAGACTCCTGGAATGCATTATAGTGACATTAGGCAGAGCTGTGTACAATGATTRTTGCTGCTACATGGGCATGGTGCAAGGTAAAGCTGTACCCAAATGTATCACAAAGAACATTTAGTTTGGCTTYTCCCCCAYAGTTCCTACAGTATAACAYGAGGAYTCAACCYCMTTATCTGGAAAGGATGGTGGGAAGWTYAATAASATAAAAAATACACATTAAGTGCTGTCACACAAATGTGAAAGTCACTGTCTGTACTCAGTACAAGGTGTGGGTGACAGGCAGTAAATGCTACCCAGTGACTCAGGAGTGAAACAAGCACCAAACCCAGCTCTACTATTAAATATTCACAATTCTCTGTACTTCATATGCACTGAGTGATGTAGGACTCTTGTAAATGTGATTTGGTAATTAAAACATCACCACAGAGCAGAGGCAGCAGGACAGCTAAATCACAGGCAGCCTTACAGCTGGCACAGCCTAATTTCARTGTGCTTGGGTTTACAACATTCATCTTTTAAACTTAATATTGCAGAACATTCATTTGATAGCAAAAATGGCTGTGATGAATTACGTGTTTCCTCAAATACACCCACACCACAGTTCCCCACATCACAGTTTATTACACATGTCTGAGAATCTACTGTGTTTTAAGGAAATKATTTCAGGAATTTGTATGAGTAAAGGTACGACTGACTCAAAAGAAAAGAGCAGCAATTATTTGGAACACCAGTWATAATAAATACAAAAAAATGTAGCTTAGTTAACTAGTTGAGCAYTTAAATTCCTTCATAAAGGCAAACAGCACTAATATTGCTATTTCAAAGGTCACTTTGAAAAGCAGTAAATCAGTTTATAAGCCGCCTTGATACCTGAAAACAATCAGAAAACACATTTTCACACATTAACAAATGTTACAAGACGATGTCATGAATACTGGTGATGTACCAATTATTTTTAAGTCAACTTGTTACATATTTGTACAAAAAGCTCTTACTTTGTTCATACTTCAATACTTATTTTGCTTATACTTCAGTCAAGGTATTACGAAGTATTTGATATTTAGGAGATTAAATTTGCACCAAAAAACCATTAATACAACCTAAGCATAAAAAAACTCCCTCTACCTATGAAAAGCAGCAGAGAAGCATCAAAACCCCACATGTGACAACTCCATGTTCTAACAGAAGTGCTGAGCTCCACTTTCCAAACAGGAGTGCAGAAGTATCAAGCAGTGGGTAGCAGAAAAGACATGAGCATACCTATTAAATCCTGTTCATCCATCCTGAAACACGAGGGTTTCATGGATAAGTCCAGCACTCGGATGCATCCATCATCTGATGCCAGGACCACTTTGTCTGACGTGCACCAGTCCACATCCAAGATCCGGAAATTCACGTTTCTGCCACTTCTTAAACTGCTCACCATTTGTACCTGGAAAAGTTCAGTTATTCTTTATTTTTAGCAGCCTCTCCATCACCYAGTGTAAGGCTGTGTCACACACCCAGGAGGCACAGCACAAAATTCACAATAAAAGGTGAAGTTAGCCATAAATCATTTCAATAATGGTCTTTTCTGGAGAGTGAGGAATTTAGAAACCTTGGAGCAGATCACATGGTTACCCTGAAACAATACTATTTCCCAATTWAGAGCTGAGAAAAGATCCTTTTGAGCACAGTGTACAGCTGCCTTTTTGTTATCTTTTCCAACAGGACAGCATTAGATGTATAATAGAACTAAGACTATAAAACATTAGTACAGATATTCTGAAAAATTTTCAACTGAAAATGTGAATTTAATTTTAAATGCTTTCATGTAGGAAACTCCTTTATCCTAGGAAAAAAGAGAGGGAACAGCTATAGGAGGAGTATTTCACGGCATCAAAGCTATTTAAATGTGTTTCAAGGAGAGACTCACTGGATAATATCCTACTCTGCTTATGTAATTCACAGTAGCTGCTCATATCTGCTGTGCAATTCTCTTCATCAGTGCARTTTCATATTGCACTAATTAAGTGTCTGAATTTGGAGCTGCTGCTCATTAAAAAGTGAAGAGGAAAGAAATTAAAGTTCCTGTTTCAAACCCTGATACCCTGAACTTATTCTGGGGGGCTAAGTTAAAACAGTACAATTATTTTTCCTTCCCCATGGATCTATAATCCCCTCAACGAGCTACAAAGCAAACCCCAGAAGGTTTGTGAACATAACTACAGTGTTTGAGCAAGAAGAGAAGCTASACAACACTAATTTAGTGTCTGGTTTTCTGGTATTCCCTAACAAATTAAATCTACTCTTGATTATACACAGAAGAAACCTGTGGTTAAATAATCTCTTGCTCACAGATTAAATTCTCAGGTTAGGGGCTCCCCCTTCAATTTTCAAGCTCGGTCTCAAAACCATTACAAGAGGATGACAACAAAGAGGATCTCAGACACATTGTCAGCTCTAAGAGGGAAAGACCCTTCTCATTGATGGCAGCTTAAAAATGCTTTATAGGGAGTAAAAATCTTCTGAGAAAAGCCATACTGCTTTATCATCCAACTGTCAGCAAGAAATCACAACTCAGGAAATCTCCATCCCTCACTCATCCTGATTTTCAGAGGTCATGTGTGTGCTTTAAGGAGAGATGCTCATCAAACCCACAGTCACTTACCTCTTTTGAATCCCAAATTTCTACCCCATCGTTGTACATGGCAAGAAGTTTTTGATTTCCTTTCCCTGGAGCAAACCGTATTTTTTTCACCCAGCTCCGGTGTGTAGGAATTCCCCTACAGAAAGAACAAGATTAGGATCAATCATTATATACCTAATATTGTAGGAATTAAATCCTTTCCACGAACTTTGCAGATCCTGATATTGCACAGATTGAGGAGGAGAACATCTATACATGCACACACAAATGGATATTCAGATTATTAAAATTAAAATGAYTAAATGCTTGGRATAAATATTATAGTAGTTAATGTTTTACAAGAAGCCATTGCAGATTTAATGTAAAAAAAATCTCTAGCTGGTTTTAAAACCTTGATTAAATGTTAATTCTTCTGAAAACACAAGAGATTAAATGTAGAAAACWGTAACACAGTAGACATTTTCTGAATTTTTATTTCAAAATACTTGCATTTTCAACTGTGGATGAAAACATTCCACATTTTAACACTCATCACCTCATGTTTGACAAACTCAATTTGCATTCATACCTGGATACTCTAGCTTTCAAATCCCAGAAGTTTAAGTTTCCATCAACATCTCCAAGAACCASTATATCCCCTTTCCAGGCAATACATGTAATGCTACCCATACTTCCCTGAAAATATTTAAGGAGCAGAACAAAAGATTTTCATTAATAGGGTCAAACATGTGAATAAATATTTCAACATTGGCAATTAAAAAAAAATATGATTACATAATAGAYCAAATTCTACTCAATTAAATATGTAAGACTGTGAAAACAGAATTGCTATGGGTTTTTAAGTTGGAATTCACATTTCAGATTTCAAAGTACTGCGTTAGTGACCACTTGCTGCTATAAAGCTTACCCTTGATTCTTTTCTGGCAATCAAAGCTAAACAAAAAATTAAASTATTGATGATACAGAAAAATTGGAACTCACATCTGGAGGAATTCTTGCACTGTCTTTCACTGAGTTTCCTTCTACTGTGAGATGATAAACCTGCCCATCAGCACCTGTGAACACAAAGTGCTCTCTGGCAGARATGTTCTGGCTCAGCTCTGATTTACTTTCAGCTTCCTGCAACAAGCTTTAAAAAGAACATAATGAGACACAATTACTCTGTTCTTGAAATCAAGAATTGCAAGACAAATTCTACCAGAAAAAAAAAAGCAAATAACACTTTCACTTAAAGAACCAGGWACCCAATGGACTGCTACAGACACACCTGAGAGAAACAGGTACATCAATCTACATCAAAGATCCACACATAAAAACTAAAGGGAGGCCCATAAAGTTGCTTTGCCTGTTACATACTCAAGAATCCATTCCAAATTATTCTTTTCATTAGAAAAATGTCACATGGTGGAAAAACCAACAAGTGATGTAGAACAGCTTTCCACCAGAAGCAGGATACCTGATCACAGAGGATTCCACRCTGCTGACTTCAGTGTCTGAGGCCACTGTCTGCCGGGCCATGGCCTCCCTGGCTGCCAGCTGCTTCTTCCTCAGGCTTTTTAAATTATGGGAAGGTGACCATTCCTGTGAAAAATGACCCAGGAAAAATGGAAAAGACAAAGGTTTATTCCATGAATTTACTGGGGCTTTATGATTTCCAAGAAGATTACATTCTGTAATCCCTCCCTCCATCACCCAATGGGCAGAGCAGATTTCTTCACCAGACTCTCCATTTTTCCAGCCTCCATTTGGTGATAGATGAAATATTAAAGCACTTGTCTGTATATGCTACAGCAACATTTTCCTGCAAAATTGTTTGAAGATTTTTCTACTATCTCAATGTTTTCTCATTTATTAAAGAGTAACTGGATTTATTCCTTACCAAAGCAGTGGCTGTAGGGAAGTTTTTGGACATTTCTCTGAGCAGAGTGCACGTTCTGACATCCCAGATCTCCAGTGGTTTGTCTTTAAATACCACAGCCAGATACTGCCTGAAACAAAAGAGAAGTTACTACAGCAAAAATCATTTGAGCATTTTACTTCACATGTAGTACTCTGGAGACCCTCAAAAACRGAGAGTTAGCAGAGCAAATTAAATCCCCCTCTGAAGCTCGTGATTCCCTTGAGTTACTGAGCGGCAAAAGAATATCTGAAAAAGAGTTTTCTTCAAAGCTAACAGAATTATAAATTTCTGACAGGTGGTTCTGCACAATTACTGTGGAGGAGACAAGGGGAGTAAWTCAGAGAGAGCAGCAGAGATCTGATCTCACCATGCTCAGCCTGAGTCAATGACTGCACAAAGCACAAAAGAAACCAACACYGCAGGCTGGACACTTTTTTCCTCTCCTGCAGATGCAAGATACTTCCTAATCCAGGGATAAATGAACATAAAATTATCTCACACTAAACCACTTGTCAGTCCTGTCTTCAGATTGTTCATTTGTGCAGCTGGGTGAGTGTAAACACCTTTAATCTACCACTTTGCACATTTAACTTGAAAACAGAGAGGCTGCTCAGCAATTTGTCCTCTCAGGCACTGCATCATTTATCTCTGCACAAGTGAAMCTCCTTTCTTGCTCTCACTCAACACTCTCCAGACTCTTCCTAAGCCCATGGCTGTTCTGAATTTTTAGTGCATTATTAAGAACATTCTATGGTTGAACTCTTCCAAATTCTCTGGAACTTTTAGGTACAAAAATATTCCTCTACAAGCTAGAGGACATTAATTTTTTTCCTCCACTGTAAAGAAAAAGCTTTTAAGATTTACAGACAACACCCTATTAAATTCAACACAACTTTAATTTCATTYATTCAAGAAAGTGAAGTTATCTTCCAGAGTACTACAGTTATTATTTTTAATACTATGAAGACCAGGGCCTCCTGTCACAGGCCTGAGCTCAAAGTAATGAGGACTTGAAAAGAAACAATTGSGTCATTTATCAGCTGACTTTTCCAATAATTGTATCTCACATGTGGTTTTCCACTAGACAATTATTATAAAAGTGTGAAATACWTAAAAAATGAAATAAATGTGAATAATCATCTAACCTTTAATGTCAAACTTCCTAGATTGGCATAAGGCTTAAGTTATGGAAAAGAGAATAAACTCATAACAGAATCAAAGTTGACAAAAACAGTTCAGCACTTCTACTTTCCCTAATATTATCAAAATGCCTGTTCAGTAAACACAATTCTTGTAAGAAATAAAATGTTCATTATTGATCTTGCAATATGATTGCATTCTGAAGTGACCAAGTCAACCACAGAAACATTCACAGCTTTTGCATTTGGAATGCATATTCTGAAGCATTTTCCTCTTGACGCTGTTGAGTATTTTTCTACACATACTGAAGTGGTTTTTTTTTTTCCCTAGAATCTCTATGACATCATGAGGATCTGCATGCAGTACAGTAACATTTATAAAGCTCACAGGGCTGATGCACTTACTTCAAATGAGACACCTTTATCATTTCAATGGCTGGCTCGTCGTTGCCTCGCTCCCCACGGAATGCAATGCTCCTGCCTGGAGCACAAAACCAGGGTGGAGAAAAGAAGCAGTTAAAAAACCAAAGAGAAACAGAGAAACTGTTTATAAAATATTCTGTTTGTAAACAGAAATAGTTTACAAACCAAACCAGAAAATCTCCAAATCACTAACAATACTCTTGGCACTGTCAAAGTTTTATTGCATTTCACTTYACTGCATTTCAAAGTTTACATTCAATAAAATGTAAACTCTGCTGTCACATCTAACWCCTGACCTGCTTCCAGAGCACAGCAACTCAAATGGATGCATCAGGATTACATAAATATAGAGTTCAAGGAGTTATTTTCCACTCAAAACCAATGAAATATTCTCTCCATTCCCCAAGGAGGAAATTCATTAATCCATTTCAAGTTTGGTAGGAAAAATCAACTCTGCCATAAACTAAATCTGACAGGATTTTCATGGCAAGCTGCTAACTCATTCTACACTCATCAGAACCATTCYCTCTTTCTTTCCAGCTAAAAGAGTAAATCCTAAGAATTTATAGTCTCATACCCAACAAAATTTTCATCCACTTGTAGGAAGTGTTGCAGAATTATAGGTGTTATGGATACCACTAAAATAAATAATGACCCACAAACAGCATCTCCTAGCCAAGTTTTATTCTCCTTAGCTCCCAAAGAAAATTCAAGCTATAAACTTTAGATGCACTTGTAGCTCACAGCTAAATTACTTAAGCCAATTACATTTGATAACTAGAATAAATCTAGTTATCAAGAACATTAAGTAGAGGCTCATGTCAGAAGCTAAAGGAAATCTTCCACCTCTATTTTCATGAATGATGAAACATCTTAAGAATTGTCTTTCATATTTTTCTTCAGAAACATAAGTGTGAATTTTGTCAAAGTAAAGATGAATCAGCAYRTTTTTGCTAGGCCTGAAATTCAGGSTCCTAAGTGATGGAAGAAGCAAAAATCAAACATTAAATTGCTGTGCCTTTCTTTCTTATCCCTGTAAATATGGAAATACACCATTTTTAAGCAAACCAAATGCTAAGGTCTCAGGCATTTATTTTTACTCAAAACTTGTTTGCCTGCAGAAATACTGACTATAAATATTCTATACTGATTTACAAGCTGTTTAAAAAATCAGATTCCCATTTCATGAGATTAATTTCCCACTGTATGTATCTGTTCTGCTTTGACTTTAAACAGATGAACAAAAGATATTATATTAAAAAAAAATTACAATATTATGCTACAAGAATAACCTCTCTGTGCAGCACCCTGGAAATACAACAATTGAGGTTTTTCCATAAGCTTAAATAGACCMAATTAAATAAAATCACTTTATGTGCTATAGAAAGCAATTCTGAATTAGCCATGTGTCACAAGATTCAGGCTCTTCAATTAGAAATTAAATGGCTCCAGGTTTTCACATTCAAAAACAAATTATAATTATTGAAGTGCTTCCTGTTCTGGGCTGTCTGATCTTCCCAGTTATACCTCCTTGTATTGTGCAAATATTGAGTTCAATCAGAAATACATTTATCATCCATTATAAGGCCAAAATAGCTGAAAACCCACACATAACCAGTTCATTTTGCTACTGMCAGTATCTTTTAAAGAGCTCCTTATTTTTTAACCTTTGGAATTCTTTATAAAAGTATCAGATTTTATTGTTTAAAATCCATTTCACAAATTCTGACCATGTGCCTGGCCTGTTGCTGAAACAAACCACAGTATAAGGTTCAACATTATTTCAGGGGCACATGAAACAGTGGATGCAGACTGTGGCAAAACACATTTGGAAATATGGAAATATGTGCAGCTCATGAACAAAATCCACCACTAATACCCTATRTGGCTGCTTCTAACCCCTCTGCTGATGTTTATTATTCTTTTAATAAGTCCAAGATGTTTTTGCAAAGGTGTTGGCTCAAGTCTGTCTGTAGAGCACCAGGCAAAACACATTTTGGGCTTCACAAAGAAGAGCAGGAACAGTTAAAGCTCCTCTTTATTATTTTACTTCGTCATGACAACAGAAGGAATAAAAAAACAATAATAGTCAGAACTCATACTTGTCACTCCCCAGCAAACCTGTCAGCTCCTGGAGAAGATTTCTCAGAAAACACAAACCTGTTGGAAGATCCACCAGCTGCAGCTCATTCCTGACCAGTCCCAGATTGTTGGGTGTTGAAGTGGCGAAGGAAATGAACCCAGTCAAGCTTATCCACTCAATTCCCCTGTGATCAGAAGGAAATATATGGAGCATATTAGCCCAAATATTTGAATGGCCAGAAAAGAAGTTTGAAGTACAATTTTTTTTTAATGTATATTCTTCAAAGCAGCAGCACAGATGTAATTTTCTAGAGTTTCTKGAAACATCATAATTAAGCATAACAAGAAACTACACATTAAAATCCATKATGTGAATATAAAGTTACTGAATTYAATTTAAGAGCAGCTTTCTTTTCAGTCTGCATTAGTTCTGTGGCTAAAATAAAATATTCAGGTAGAAAATAGTTAACTTTTGCATAAAGCCCTCAGAGACACTCAGCAGACCAGAGCAGACACTCTGATCAAATCAGTGGTTATATCAAACAACTCTGATTTCCCAGCACACAGGAATAYTCATGTGGGTGGCACTGTGGTTAGACTTCATTCTTCCAGTCCAGAGAGAAGAGAAATAAAGATACAAAAAGAGAGGCCCTGAAGAGATTTCACAAAAGAACCAAAAATCTGTTTTCTTTTTTTGTTTTGTTTTTTTCAGATCACACCAAAGCAGCTCCCAAGCAAATCACGTTGCAGTGCTGCAAGGATGTAAAGTTCCAGTGCACAGAACATATTGGCAGCACAGATGGGTTCTCAGCAAATTCCTGAAATATACTGCAGGGCAAAAGGGACAGAAAGTGGCACTGGGTGGGACTGTTCCTTCTCCAGCCCCATTTCCCACAYTCACTCAGTGCCTGTGAAAATTGCCAAGTGCTTCATCTGTGAAATAAATCAAGGAACTYATCTAAAGGAAATTGAGCTCTAATAGACACGTGCTCAACTCCATTTTAACACAGATAAAAGGATTTAAGGTTCCCTCAAATCCTTCAAACACAGATTATTTAAGAACCATTCCCAGAACAAGTATTCTGTTACATCAATCRTGCTTTTTGCAAGGATATATGTGAAGTATGAGAAAGAAAAGTAACAATATTTATGATTTACTGTCAGTAAATCCAACTCACATTGTATTAAGTAGTTTCCTAAATGAAACCAAAAAGCACTCCCATAATATTTTGCACATATAATTTACTGCYATATTTATATTATTTTAGTTTAAGCTCTAAAAGCATGGGAAGCTTTCTTCCAAAGCCCTCAAGGAAAGTTACAAATTTAGAGCCCAGTCTTTTTCCCAGCAGGACCCATGAAAGTTCAACCATTAATTTCAATCAAAATGAGAAGTATTCAATTATTAATTGAAACATTCCACACACGATTGAGTAGAAATCTGCAACAGCAGTAATGGTGACATTGCAAGCCTCCAAAGGGTCATAAATCCAAGGAGCTTTTAGAAATAGAAAAATGTGAATTCTGACACCTTTCCATTTATCTCTTACTGAGCTATGTTTTTASGAAAAAATCCACTCCTAATGCATTGTTATTGCTGGTAGTTATTCACCATTCTCCTTCAAAGACCTGAAGCATTTTCTACATTTTTTTCATCAGCACAGATTTAGCAGGGCAAGTCCTTTTTCTCTGCTGCTGCCTGGCCTTCTGTCAATAGCAATAAAAATCTACAGAAACCCAAGACACTCATAATCAAAAGGAAACCTTAGCTTAGCTAACTGCTTGCACCTGAAACAACATMATTTTTGTCACTGTCACGCACAGAAATTGAGAATCTGAAGACAGTGATGAAAAATTTAATGATGGAAACAAGTAACTCCTTCCCCATTGAAACAGCAAAAATTTTCCCATAAAAGTCATCTTTGCCTACCAGAATTAAGGGTTACATTCAGCTGCCAACCCCTTCTCAGACTCAATCCACTCTTCTAAAATACAACATTTAGGGATTCTATACCTTCAATTTGTCTCACTTACTTCAGGAGTGAGACTCAGTTGTTTTGATTAATGTTTCCAATGCAAACAAATTACAGAGTGCACTGAAGTGGATAAAAACACAAATTACTTTTCTAGTTGGGAATAGATTGTTGTGACTTTATGACATGGCAGCTGCTACTTAAATTTAAGGATTATACGAAAAAGAGAAAGGCAAAATGGGAAATAAAACCATATGTGCTACAACAGTGGTGGTAGATATTTTTCATTCTAATTTTCCTATTCAAGTAAAGTTTTTTTAAGGAGGTGATGAAYGTTTGCAAAGCAGTTTCCCAAAGAGCAGTCAGCTGAAATTCAAAAGGGAAAACAGCTTCAATTCAACTGCTAAAATTTGGATGTAATGCCATAATTTTCAAGTTGTGCCTGCAGGCCCCATAGACATTCTTGCTACAGTCAGTGAGATTTTAATTTCAAAAATAAAAGCTGTTGTAGCCCTGAACTTGCTGAGCSTCAGTGAAAAAGAATGAGCAGTGCTGCTCCAGTTACAGCTATTTAGCTATCAGMATAAGCAAAAGCAGCACTGAGAGCTGCAAATGTGCCACTAAAGCTTCACTGCAGGCATTTTATTTGCATGTCTCAAATATATTCCTCTCTGCACTGAAGAAGTATTATTATTTTCTGTATTGCATTTTAGCCAGAGGTATCAAACTTATTTCATGGTTTTTCTTAGTAAAGAGAATGATTTGTATTTCTCTCTGTCCTGAAGGAATCCTGACTTCCTGCTCCTAGTTTCTGCCTGCCAGCACACAGGCCAAAGTCCCYTTCTTTATTTTCCCCTCACTTATGCTCCTGGCAGTGGCCTGATTGATTTTCCCTCTTTGTGTGCCTTGAAGCATTTCTGCTGCTTCTTGCCTCAATCTCTTTATAAAAATAAAACTAAATTCAACAGAAAAGTATTTACTTCCATAATATAAAATAGCAAAAGCTAAGTAATAACCATAAATAGAATGAATATTCAAGGTTACCCACAAGTACAAACTACCTTAAAAGGAAGGACAGAAAGACAATTCTTCCTCCTTCTAGTCACAATGGAATTTAAAAGTTTCAATAAAACCAAACAAAAACCCAAAATCCAAAAAATATCAGCATGTGAATACATATGCAGAACTTTAATCTTAAAAAAAAAAAAAAGCATGAATGCTAACACCCAAACAACTTGGTGGCCATTAATACAAAATTTGTAAAGGATAATTGCCTTACTTTTATTACATTCTCTTCCTAAACTACAGAGYACTGAAAACTCTGCTGGCCTTGAGTTACAATTTCAGGGTATGCTCATTACATACTAAAATCATGATGGTCCCTGAAGGTGTACTTTCAGATAAAATGGAAACAGAGGCATTATTCAATCTATCCGAATTTTAGAGGTAAAGTTAAGAATTCCCAGTGAAAGAAAAACTTGCACTCTGTGAAAAGTAATTTAAAAAAAGAAAAGAATCTCCATGCCTTAATCTAAATTGCTTGAAGCATTTCCTTGAACTTGTAAAAATCACGTAAAAAGTCATTCAGACAACTGAGAAAACTATAATAAATATTTAAGACTTACCCTGATAATAGCTTATGGCAAAACAGAATGCTCAAACATTTTACATGAATCCTAAAAATACCACGTATTGAGGACCTTAACTAAGAACACAATGCATCCTTAAAGTTTCTCAAAAGCTGCAAACTCTTTACAAATTGAAAAGCCCAAACAACAATATTTCTAATGATATACAAAGCTTTTTTTCAAAAGTGYGTTTATTTCCTCCTCCCTCTCCATTTTCCTCTTTTTCTTTTGACATGTGAAATGTGAGTAGTGGTTTTAATTTTGAGTTCTATAATCACTTTAATGAAAAAGACTCTCCTCTTGTGCTGTGTAATAGTAAAATAAAAATAGTTTCATATGTAGTYAATGGTAGGAGACCAAGAGTTTCAAATGGTTTAGAACAGAAAGGGGAATTCTATTCTGACAGTGCCAAGTAATCATAGCACAAACATAAAGAAAATTACTTAATTTTGGTGGTAGGTTCCAAGCAGRTTTCCACAATGAACTCTCAGAGCTGCCTATTCTCAGTAACCTGTACTTTTCTCAACTTTCTGCAGAATGCACAGTAAAATGCAGACTGTAGCCAGACGAATGCTTCATGAGACAATTCTGATAGATATTTTTACTAATATTAGTGCTAGAAGTAAGTATTTTATTTTCATGCTTAAATCTGCTTGGAAGTATCCAGCCAGCACCATCTTGAAGATCTTTGCCATTAGTCATCCAAAAAATTCTGCCACTGTGTACACACAAACACACAGCACAAAAGCTTTAAAACTTACTTTGCTCCTTAAGATGGATAAATACTGATTCCTACATCCAGTCTYGAAAGTTTTTCAATAAGAAAATTATTTTTACCTCAGTTAGGACTAGAACTGTCTCAACAGCAATTTCAGCCCCATGGGGACAAAGTAAATAAACCCTGATATAAAAACCAGAATCCTTTATAAAGTTATAAATAAGGCACTAAAAGTTTCCTGTCCTAAAAAGACTTYTTTGTCCTGCAGTGCAGTGAGTAGCCTGGAAGTAGCTGATATGCATCCCAGATCAGCAGGCACAGATGCAATTCCAGTATTTCTTTCAATGTAATTTTSATTTCAGTTTTGTCAGGGTGTTACAGCTCATCCACAGCAAAGGCTGTGAGGGTGGAGCTCTCAACAGACAATTTTCCTGACTGTCATTAACAGCAAGGCAGGACACCCACACTGCTGCTGTAACATCACTCAGGTGTTTCAGCATTTGTTTCCTAGAAGGATTATAGTAGGAATTAAAATGAAAATCTTACTTGACTTCACAGGAATGGATGCTTAACTCTTTGTGGAGGAGTCCACTTGTAAGATGAAACACCAGGACAGAGCCATTGCTTGTACCTATAAAAATTGATTACAAAAATATAGACACACTATTTATTCTTTTCTTCCATACTTTAGTGCAAATGCAGGATTAACAGCTATTTCTCTCTCTCTTGTTTATAGACACCTGTAACTATAATATTTTACAATTTTAGAAAAGGTAGTTTAATTTCTAGCACTTAAATCCYAAGTATTAAACCTTCCAAGGTTCTCTGCAGCCACTGATATCCACTTGGATTGACTCATTTTCCCAAACTTTTTTGTGGAGGCTGTAGAAAATTCGGTTATTCTTCTTGCACTTCCTCACACCCACSCAACTGCAGAAGAAATGAATGTTTCTTTCTGGTTTGATTACTGGAGATGAGTAAAGGCCTCAAGGCAATGAGTTAACTGTTATCCACCAATAAGGCCAGAGGAGAATTCTGAGTAGGTTTTATGGAATCATTAAAGCAATTCTGCTTTCTCATCCCTGAAATAATGAGTTCTTTCAAATTAGAAATCAGTAATTTAGTAGCTATGAGCTTCAATTACAGCAAAAACCTTCTGAACTACTGAAACTTACAATTTTCCATTAGACATTTCTTTATATTCATATCAACTTTATGAAATGTAACAATGGATACATAAAGAAAAAAATTCAGGTAGGTAAAGTTTAGAAAGACCTTGCTGTAAATGCACTCTACTCCTATCTATTTGTTTCCTAATCTTTGTATTTCACCTGTTCTAACAGCTACAGGTTATGGAAAACCACAAGTTGCATTTTAGTATCATCACCTCAAGTCATGATAGACTGCCTGTGGTTTAGAGCACAACTCTGAAAGGATGCCAGAAAAATCAGATTTAAACAGGGAGAACTCTGAGTTAACAAATCAGGTGCTCACTGGCAACTATTCTAATATCTAGATAAGTTTAACTAAATTTGTAGTAAGACAGAATAGATTCATCCAGGAAAAAAACCATGCTGCAAGTGTAACTTTATAAAATCATCTCAGAGCAAAAGTAATCTCTGTAATGTTCATTTACTCACTTTAGGAAAGCAGGGCTGCAGAAGCCCCTATTTCCTGACATTTAGAATGAAGTGAGAGCAACATGTAAAATGCTGAGTGCATTAACAGATCAATATCACAGCCAATGATAGGATAAATACAAACTGGCCACTACATTGCATTTTTCAGGTAGCATTGCTTAAACCCAATGCAGGAAAAAAGAACTCAAAGACTGTCACARAATCAAACTAACACAAAGGTCACTTTCTGGAGTAAGTTACCCAGGATCAACAGACTGATCTTTTTATCTGTATTAYCAACCACATTTCTATTTAATACAGAATATATTCTTTTCAGAACAATAAATMATCTGCTCAAGGCACTTACCAACAGCAAGGATGGGCTCATACTGTTTGATGTTTTTGGTTGTGAGAGGTGGGCACATGCGGATGGCGAATGGAGGCAGAGGGAGGCCTGAGAGAAGTCCTGTCAGCAGGAATTTGAGGTGCACTTCCTGCAGGAATGAATTCCTTAAYTCTTCTCCAGTGCTTGCACCTTGCCCTGCTTAAAAATTAAAGCTCTTGTTAGCATGAAGTATTGATTGGAGATGTTACAGAATGTTTTCAGAGAGAAATTTATATAATAACAAATTACAAACAGTGCATAAGACACATTTCTTCCTGTTGAGCTTTGTATGATGAAAAGTTTTTGGAAGACTTTTTGGTTTCACAAAGATTGGGATGTGTCAGATAAACTGGCCTCTAAGATTAGTATCAAAAAGAGAAAGTTTTGGCCAAATTCCATTTTGAAACCTTTTTCCTCGGAGAAAATGAACTTGGAAATTGATCCTCAACATAAAATCCTCAAGAGGATTCGATAGTTTCTTTAGCAAACAGGAATTCTATTTCAGAGCTACTATCAGAAAATGATTCTAACAAATACCTTAAGCAAGCTAAGATGCACAATGATTCAACTCCATGAGAAATTGTTAGCAGAGATATTAACAGAAGAAATTCTTACCAATCATGCTGTCTAATGAGAGGTCTGGAAGTTTATTTTGGAATGCTCCTACAGGGATTCCACAGAAKGAGACTGGGGAATACAAAGGTGATGCACTGGAACTGCTGTAAAAGAAATGGAAATAAGTTCCTCATGCAAAGACAACATCCATCCACTCAAACAGGGACTCAAACTGCCCCTGCAGTCGTGTCCTGCTGGGTGGGGCAAGTCTGTGTCATGAGCAGAGACCAGAGACTGCACCCACTTGGCTCTTATAACATTACATTTCTCCTGACAAAGATCAGTGTTTTAGAAATTACTCTTAAGAAAATAAGAAGCAAAAACCAAGCACACATGGATTCTAAAGAGCTTTCCTGGATATGCAGTAAAGAAATCCATCTAGCAGTATTTTTGGGAACATCACAAATAAAACCAATAAATCTCTGATGAGCAAAAGGACCTACACTGAAAATCTGGTACTACTGACATTTAAAAGAAATCTATTTCTTTTATGGCAGTAAGTCATTTATTTTATTCCACAGTACTTTAAAGGGTTATGGCAGCAGAACAGCCTTAATACTGAATGTTCTCATAGTATTTTGAGCACACACTGAAGGATATCATGTTGCCTTTAAAATACAATGAATTACTGAACACCCCTTGTAAAAAGCAGCAGTTTTGGTAAGAAAAGTAAATCCCATTACCTGTTGCGCAAATTTCTGCCAGAAACACTGGATTTTAATTCCCAGATCATCACYCTGCCATCACTGACTATGAGAGCTGCAGCATTCTCATTCACTGGGCAGCACACCATGCTGAAGGGACGAACTGTTTTGGTCACCCTGATGGCATCACACTGGCTTCTTAAATCATAAACCAGCTCCTGAACTGGGTCTGGATCTGCAACATCAATGTCCCACAGAGGACAAACAATTAGAGAGAAAAACATGTGATGAGATCAATCAACAGAGGTAAATCTGAAARCATGACAGAACCCTCTGACTGATASCCACAAGCTTCCTGTGCAACAAGCAGGAAAAGCAATCAAAAACTACACACTCTTRATATTGCTGTAAACAACACAGCTCTGAAAAGCTCTCCAAAATGTAACTTTGTCTTTATAGTATCTTATTCCATATGAATCCTGCAAAACCTAAAATAATAACTGTTTCACAGCTGGGCAGAACCTGCACCTCCTCTGCACAACCCAAAACTCCAGGTTTATTGGTAAATCTGGAAGCCAGTAATGTAGCTCACTAGAAATTAGCCAACTGCCCAAACCAAAATAATCTAAATAAGCAAATAAAAATCACTTATTTACAGTTACAGAATTAGTTTTTGCCTTTCTTCCACTATATTTGTAAGATCATTCTTAACAGCACTGAATGAGACAAAAGTTTAATAATTTAGATTTTAATCTAAATTAAAGCCCATCTCTTAGCTCTAAAATTAATTCTTCCAATTAACCAAATGATTTCCAAAACCCTATGTTTGTCTGAAAAAGCTTTATTCTTGAAGATAAAAAGAACACACTAAACATATTTTATTTAAAATATTATTATATACATGACTGTAAAACCACTTCTTAATTTAAGTATTATTTAGCAATAAAAGGATATTCAGAATATTAATATAATCTATTTTGCACTTAATATCAGGGAAGTCAAAAACTGTTCTGGGAAAATGTAGCATAAAATTAAATTTAAATTTAAACTCAATATATAAGAGATGAAACATTAGAAGGCTGTAATTCACCATCCTGTTTGAGTCATGATGGTCATTACTGGTGTTAAATTATTAATTAAATTTCATTAATTTAAATTAATAATCAAAATTCTATCAAAATTCATTTCTGGAGATTTTGGCCACAAAACTCACCTGGCTCCTCATTTGGAGTTGCAGTSATGCTGCAGTTGGATCTGCGAACCCTTAACGTGATGCAACCATTTTCATGTAGGCAAAATAACCCATCCCTCTGAAAACAAGGAATCACCTGGGGAAAGAGATGTRTGTTACATTGCATATTCAAAATTTTAACCTTTGCAAAGGACACTTGCAAGTGAACATACAATTTCTGATGAATAAGCCAGTCATTAAAAATGTTACATTAATGCAACGCTTCCATGAATTTCTTCAGCTACAGGACTTGTGACAGGAAGTGAATTAATTTGAAGAAATAATTGAAATGTTTTGATTGAATTGTTTGCTTGTACAGAGAAGATTTTTTCCCCTGATGAGCTAACTTAATTTTCTAGAACTAATCAAAACACAAATATCATTGGATCACAAACTTATACATGATTTTAATAAACTGTCMCAACGATAAGTCTTCATTACCTGTATGAAAGGTACCCCTGTCCTTTCAATTGCAATCACACCCACTGTCTGRTTCACCTCCAAGTCAAGAATCAGAATTTCCCTGGGGTACAGCAAGAGCATGTAGTTTCTTTTGGAAGGCAAATAYGACAACTGAAGACAGTCGTTGAGTGTTACAGATTCAGCACTGTAAAATCAGACAAAGTTTTATTAGGTTGTGTCAACAAACAGYTCAAGTTCAAAATAAAATTAACAGCATCATTTCTCCTGCTTTTTTCCAAGTAACCCCTATTTTGATCACAAGGCAACTGAAGATTTCCACTTATCTGTAAAAGCAGTGCAAGTCACCGACTTCCAAAAACAGATTCTGTTGACTTTTGTCTCAATAAGATTGTAGAGTAATTTAAAAAATTGCACTTCATTCAAATGGAACAAGYGTAATTCTTGCCCATCTCAAACCCAAAGCAATTTCCCTAGGAACAGTGCTGGCTGCCCTGACATTTACTGGCATTCATGGGAAATGACCCTCAGACACACTGCTTACTTTATTTTTATATTGTTGTGCTTATTACCTTACAGGCTTTAACCTAAATATATTGATACTTACATCAATATAATTATACAGGTATAAAAAGCATTAACTAAGAAATATTTGCAACCTACCTTGGTTTTTCATTACTGATYAGGATTTTCACTTTATCCAGGGCTTTTTTGGCCCCTGTAGCAGCAGCCAGCTTGTTGTGAGAAGGACTGGAATGGGGACTAGAGATGTAAACTTTCTTCCCTGAGCTGGCAGGAGCTTTGGAAGGGGAGAAGTCAGAGATGAACACTATTCCTTCACTAGTGAGCACTGTGCCAAGAGAAGAAAATAGCACAATTTAGTCTGAAATTTGATTGTGAAATTTCATTTTAATGACATTTTGATGAGGAGAAATGCTAATAACTTTGGTAATACTGTATCAGACAGAAAACTCAATAAACAACCAGCACTTTCTAACTGAAAGAGCAGCAGATGGTCCCTTACAATCAATATCCACAAAACTCAACTTTTCCAAATTAAGTCTATATTAAAAAATATTGTATTACTGGCAGAAACTCAGTTATTCTCTCACAGCAACTGTTTTTCTTTAAGACTCACAATGCAAATAGAAGACAGAATACACATAGACTAACATTTTTTGTTCTCATGCAGATCATGGCTCAAATAACCATTAATTCTCATTATTTATGTTATAGCATAAAGGTTTGGCTCAGCTGTACAGCTGAAGTGTTTACAGAAGGCTAAATGGTATGACAGATTAAAAAAACTCCAAAACTACAAAGCCTGGCAACTGCACTGTCTCATTACAGATCAGGAGTGATTAAGCTAAATTCAAGAATAAAATGGTGACTCTTATTTTTCTCACTTTCTTTCTGCTAAAATAAATAAAWCTGCACTATATCCCCCTTGATATCTGAATTGCTTCTGCTACTGATCTCRCACTGTAGTCCTCTAAAATCCTTTCTGTTGAAAATAACATTTATTCTTGGTCTAATTATCTCTATGGGCTGCKCCCTCAGCACCCATCCTTTCACAGCTTTTTATATTTCACAGGGCTCTCTGTGAATCCTTGGCTTCCTTCAGCTCCCTCTCTAAACACTTTACAGTTCCTTTTGTAAAGTCTCAAACATTTATTTTCAGATTTCTAACTTCTTCAGTCATGCCTACTCTTCCTCTTCCCACACAACAGCCTCTTCTGAAATAGATCCCACATTGGTCAAAGATTTCCTGTTTTTGCTTTGAGACTTCTTTTTGGCTTTGATGACATTATTCTCTCCAAACCCTTACTTCAAATTTCAACATGAACATTTTAGTTTAACAATTTTCCTGGTCACACATATCCAGGCCACACTGTTTCACACGTACAAACTTACAAGCTAAATGTGAGGGATCAAAGGGGTCAAATGAAAAGGACAGGATGTTTTCAGCGTAACTTTTCTTCCAAAGTTTGGTGCCTGTGTCTGCATTCCACAGYACAATATAGTTAGGTGGGTGAACTGCAAGCAATAAATCTCTAGAAGCATCTTGATTCCACAACCACTGCATATCTGTCAAAAGAAGGAACAAAATTAATATTTGGGWTTGTATCAGTATTGGAGCTGGAAATAAATGTCTTCTCCACTCTAAATACTTTTAATCAGTGTTAAGTTCAAGAGCAAAATRAGACTGAGTCTAACACTCAATCATGAGCACAAGTACAATGCTTAAAGAATAGGATCAGCCTGAAAGGGGTAAAATCATTCAAGTGGTATGGTCAGAATTCCTTTAAACCTTCAGGGAATTGGTGTCAGGAGTAAATAAAATCCAATCTGTAAAGCATACACAAACAGAAAGTAATAAAACTAATAAAATTAACTGCAGTCAGTAAAATAAATTTTCAGTGGCTCAGTATCAGACTTACAATATTGCATCTGCTTTCACAGGATTTATAAAAACTGAATAACAAAGCCCAACAATCTATTTACATAAGTGTGCTTTCACATAATAGAATTTAAAAACCCACCAGGTGTAACGTAAGCATGGATCACAATTTTTAAAACAGCTGAAATGCTCAAAAAAACCCAACCCCCGATGAAAAGCAGGAAGATGTACCTGGCACTGTAATTGTTATTATTTCAATCAATAACATTCATAACAACAGATTCAAACTTTTTGTCACAAGGTCTTGGAAAACATCACCATAATGAATTAAATCTCACAGCACTCCTCTGKGAGACACTAAATCTTACATTTACTCAAAAAATGAACAAGCAAACATACAGAGGCCTGGTAATCCCAACAGCACAATTCCCTGTCAGCACTGAGCACAGTTTACAAAAGGCAGGTGATGGATTTGTRCACAATGCTCCATAAAATAACTCCCATATAAACATCATCCACTATCATTACCTTGAATGGGTTTTGAATGTTCCTGTATTTCACAGCGAGCTGTTCCTGTTGCCACATCCCACACAATGATTTTCCCTGTGGCATCAGCAGAAGCCAAACGTAAGGAATATGGAGAGCCAATATTGTGGTGGTAATTTTCCTTAGCCCATTTAACCTGAAAATACAGATGGGAATTGGTTAAAGGAGACAAACATATATAACACAGACAACATAGTACATATTTTTCAGATAGATCAATAATGAACTAAAAAAAAAAGTATGGTAATAGTTAATGCAAACAGCACCTGTAACATACCTTTAAGCTACCACCACTTGTACAAATTTAAGGCAGGCCACAACTGTGCTGCATGACTGCATGGCTGACATTTTCAAATTACATAAATCAACAAYACTCATACCTGAAGGTAACTACAACAATCCAAACATATATGGCATGTATGTAGAGAGTTTACTTAGATGTTTAGAGGAAACTAAATGGCAATGTTTAAGGTTCTGCAGGCATCCACAAACCTATACGCACCCATTTCCAAACAAATGAAAGCTGAAAAAYTATCATTCCATTTTTATATACATCATAAAACAAGAAATTTTCTAATCTGACAAATATGTGGTGGCATTAGGAAGGAAGGAAGGAAGGTTGGACTTGCATCTCTGTGGTGGCTCATAACTAAATAACGAAATAAGGTATTGCTGACTTTTGATAACTTTTTGGGTTTTTCAACACATTGCCACCACTGACTTCCAGGTACCACTTTCCAGTTTGGGATTTCAAGCTGCACAGGCTTGTAAATTGGCAATACTTATGAGAAATCTGTGCCTTAAAATTTGAAACACTCTGCCTACAACTCCTCCCAGATTACAAGGGAATGGATAACACAGACTTCTTCTTTATCTATCCCACATGGAGCAGTTTTGCTGTCTGCTTTTAAGTTGAACTTCTGCCCCAGGAGAGGCTGCAGACACTGACAGAATAAAGAAACATTATTGCTAATCTGATGGGAATATAGCTGCTACAAAAATTCCACCCTAGCCAGTTATCTGTGTGCTGTCACACTGCCTAACACAAAAAGGGTGAGGCAAACACAGGACTCTCTGTAGCTACTGAAAACATGACATTTTAAAAACTGACATAGGATTATCATTAGGCACCCCTAACTGCACCATGGAACAGATTTACTGCAGCATTCAGAGCCTTTTTTGCTCCCCTTCTCAGAGGTATGAGCAGCATGTATGCCACAAATCAGCTGAATAAACTAAACAAACCTGACACATGCACAKCACAAAATCTCTAGCTATTAACTCAAAGCCTGTTTCTACCAGAATCACAAAGAATTCTTGAGAGACTCTCCTCTACCTATAAATCTCATTTTGCAATTCCAGCTTCCCTGCTGTTCAAGAAAGAACTATCCCTGAGGATATCTGCATGTGGCTATAGAACTGTAATTGTAAAAACCTACAAAGCTATTTATTTCTCAGTTAAATGTATATTACTTCAAAGCAAATTCCAAGTCTGGAAAACATAATTTCTCAAGYGAAGAATTGTCACCAAGTTCAGAACAACAAAAATGAGACCTTTACATAACCAGTCCTAAGCAGAGCCCACGTGGTGCTCCCACACCATGAACCTCTTGACCCTCTCTGCAGTCACATTGCTCCAACAAGGTCCCCACACAGGACATGAYCTTCTGCTAAAAGAAATTATTTTCTTACAGCATTAATCACTGTCTACTCTGACTTCAAAATACAGCAGCATTGGTCAAAAAGAGGACCCAAATGCAATTTTTAAAAATTTTCTCAATCCATGTCAATCCACCTCATTTATAAAGCCTTATTATCACTGTTTATTAATGYATCAGAAAGGACACAAATGTAATTTAAATCCTCTCCTTCTTGTGACAGATCCAAACAATTCACTTGCAAATAGATTTTCTTCAGTAAAAGCATTCTTTCAATACTCTTTGTAAAGGTAAAATCAGATATAATACATTTCATACAAAGCCATCAGCCTCATACAAAAACCTTTTGGACAGATGGACAACTAACATGGATTGATTTTCAGTGAAACTATTAGCTATTCTATACACAGTTATGACAGAAAAAATAGCAAAATGGGAGGATTATGAAATAATAGTTGTTTTCTTTGTTTCCTTCCTAACAGATGTGGTTAATTTTCCTTCCTAACAGATGTGTGAAATTTTTCAGAACTGAAGCACAAGTTTTTGGGGACTGAGTTTGCTGGTATGAGCCTCTTCTTCAAGAGGTTTAAGCCACACTTGCACACCAGACTTCTTACAGATCCCCCCCAGCTTATTTATGCTCTTAGCATTTACAAACTCTTAAAAAAAAACCAATTTAGGAATTGAAGAAAATTCCTTAGAGATGTAAATGTATCTGCAATGATCTGCCAGCCAAACAATGCTCTAAACCATAAGTGAATCTGCCACTGTCCACAACCAAAGAAATGATGCATCAAAAAAATACATCCTTTTCCACACTACACCTAAAGTCAAACTCCACAATTTCAAGTCAAGGACCTTCAAGAAAAAGTACAGGAATCCCACAATAAAGCTAAAACTTCAGCCATTTTATATCACTAAAATAAATGTTCACTTTTGTCCGCTATTGTTCCCTTCCTATAGATAAGAAAAGAAGGAAAAGTTTGAAAGTAATGTTCTAGACGAATGGTGTATCTCCCACAGCAGGGAGGATCAGAAAGGGCAGCAGAAAAGAGCTTCATTTGATATTTGGTAGTGTTCATTTCAAATCCTTTCATGTTAACATCTTTCATAGAAACATCTCTGTTCTGTAACACTAAACAATGTTCTAGATAATACAATCTCTACATTTTCTACCAAGATACACYATCAACTCAAATTTAGTGTGTATGGCTTGAATTAGCAGCAAAAGAYACATAAAATACGTGTATTTTACAACAGAATTGATGTGAAAATCATGAGTAATAAGTACCATGTCATATATTATTGTGGGTCTACCGAACCATGACATATATTTACAGTGATTTAGAATGATAAGATCCACATGAGAACCAAGTAATATACCTTAAACTAGGTACATCTTACCTTGACAACACTGGCTTTGTGCCTTTCCAAAACCTGTAAAGTCTGAGCAGAATTGGCATCCACTACGAGCACGAGGGAATGACATCCATATGCAATCAAACCTTGCCAGCCCCTGGAAGAAMACAGAGCATCACCAATAAGTAAAGCAGAACAAAAGCTCTTCACATCAGGAATGARGAGATTTTTTTTGTTAGCTGAATGCATGCTACTAGACACAGTRTTTGATGTTTGTCATATGGTAAATGCTATTTAGTGACATAAAAGAATTATAAAATAATATCGCACTGTCTCCTGGACTCTTAAGCCACCACAAAGCATCTCTTTGTGTCCATCTCAAAATCTTCTGCAAGTTTGAGAAATCACAAAGAAATTCATGAAGAGTGTTTCCAAATTTTAGACACAAGAACACAGGTAAGGAATGTATGTGAAATGAAACAATTAATTGCATATATTATTTATTTACTTGTTTACTTTTTTATAGGCAAAAAGGAGCATGTAACCAATTGTCACAATAACAGTGAAAATCTGCTGAGGCCTGTCTTAGTTCAAGATACATTAACAACAGAATCACAGAATGGTTTGGGATGGATGAGACATTAAAGATCACCCCGTTTTCCACCCCATGCCATGGGCAGGGACACCTTCCACTGTCCCAGGCTGCTCCAAACCCCGTCCAGCCCGGCCTTGGACACTGCCAGGGATCCAGAGCAGACACAGCTTCTCTGGGCACCCTGTGCCAGGGCCTCCCCACCCTCACAGGGAAGTATTTCTTCCTGACACGTAATCTCAACCCTCTCTGCTTCGATTGGAACCCCTCTGTCACTGCCGGGAGGGGCTGGGCCAGGCTCATCCCTGGGCACAGCTTTGTCCCTGCCCAGAGCTGGACAGCAGCAGCTCCCCGCGCTSCGCCGGCCTCTCCCGGGCATCCACCGCTATCCCAGCCCCGATTCCCGGCTCTGCATGGGGGTTCTATGGACGCCCCGGCACCAGCGGGGCCTCGCAGGGGGAGGCAGAGCAAAGCTCGACCCGGGTTTGAGGCCAAAGAGCGGCGGGGACACCGGCACCCCCCGCCCGCGGCCCGGCCCCTCACGGCCCCTCACCAGTCCGCCGCGCCGCGGTTGGGCGCGCTCAGGGAGCCCGTCAGCGTCCGCGCCGGCAGCTTGATGTTGACGGTGAAGCGCTGCATGGCCAGGCCGGCAGAGGAGCCCGGAGCGGAGCCCGGCGGGGCMGCCCCAGCCCCGGCAGCCGGTGCCGAGAGCCGCGGCCCTGCCGGCACCGCCCCTCAGGAAGCGCCGCCTCAGCGCCGCCGCCGCTCCCGGCTCGGCCCGGGCCCCGCAGCCCAAGAACGGAGTTCCGCCGCCTGCCCTGCCCTGTCCGGCCGATCTCTGCGTGTCCTGGATCCCAGCACTGTTCCGCTCGGAATGGAGCTCTGGAGATCACCCAAGGCAGGGTGTCCCGGAGCAGCTGGCACAGGAACGCCTCCGGGTGGGTTTGGGATGTCTCCAGACAAGAAGGCTCCACATCCTCCCTGGGCAGCTGTTCCAGTGCTCTGCCACCTTCAGAGTGAAGGAGTTCTTCCTCAAGTTGAGGTGGAATTCCTTGTGTTTTAGTTTGTGGCCGTTGCTCCTCGTSCTGTCGCTGCCACCGAAGAGTCTGGCACCATCCCTTGCCACCCCTTAGAGATTGGTGAGATCCATTCTCAGTCTTCTCTAGACCAAACATTGCCTCAATCTTTCCTCATCAGAGAGATGCTCCAGACGCCTCGTCATCTCTGTGGCCTCTGCTGGACATCTCAGCAGCTCCTTGACTTGCAGTGAGCCCAGGACTGGACACAATAAGGGACACAGAAGGGACATCCCAGAGCTGCCACCCATGAGCAGGACACGGTGCTGCTGTGTTGGTTGTACATCCATCCATGGCTGCAGGGGAAAGGAACCGTGGGATGCCAGAGACTGCAGCTCCAAGAGTGCCTGTGCTTCCTGCCAGGCTGAAATCTGGGACAGCTCACTGGCAAAAGAGCTCCCTGTCCCATCTCCAGGTTCTTAAAAGCTTCAGGACAGCCAGAAGATCTTTTTCACCATGCTAATTTCTCCTCCAAAATGCATCTTCAATGACGAAATGCAGCAGCGCCGGAGCTCTTTGTACTCTCAATAGCAGGGAGGCACCCCAAGGCACCAAACCCTTCCTWATATAGCCCATCCTCCAGCTGCACCAAATTACCACTCACACCAAGCAGAGCCACCTGGGATGAAACGTTAATGAGATAACAAGAATCATGTGCTCCCGGGCTTATTATTTAACACATATAGGCTGTTGGGATGTTTGCTTCTCACTGAAATAATAATTGTTTATTTGTTATGTTTTGTAGAGAAAAAGATGCCACTAGATGGCCAGAGATGGCAAGAATGTAGTGCCAGTGACATGCTCTAACACTGCACTGTCACTTTGTCACAGAAGATGGGATAATGCTGATCCCCCTTTGTCCCTCTTTTCATTCTAATCACAGTTGAATTTGTGCAAGTGGGAATTCAAGAAACCACCTGCAGCTGATGCCTTTTCCAATTCTCTTCTAAAGAAATCTGCTCTTGGAGTGCAGTACATCACTCACTGCCACTTTCAGGTCACCGTAACATTGGAACTTGTTTCTTGAAACCGTCTCATCCCAAAAGATTTCTATTTGCTCTTAAAACTGAAAAATGACTGCTTGGAGAAGTAAAGAGCTTTTTTTGTTCCTTTTTCTTTGTCATTATTTGAGGACAACGTGGTCTGCACCTCTGGAGATCAATTTTGAAAGAGCCTGAGCAGCCACTAGCTTCACTAATTTTAGGTTTTTTTTTTGTTTTTTTTTTTGCTAATGGTGTGTTTTTACTCTGTGTCCTTGAACAACATGCTGCTGCTCGTGTTTTTGGAGGGTTTTGGTTATTTTCTTGCTTTGTTGGATTGGGGCTTTGTGAGAAGGGTCCTTTGGAACTTYTATTGCACAATATAACCCGAGGTTCTTCCAGACAGTTTTCCATCTATTTCCTTGCATCAGAAAACCAAGCAATAAATGAAATGCTTAAAGGAAATAGATACTTTAAGGTAGTTGAAGATAAGGACAGATACCAGAAAAAGGGAAAGAAAGGAAGAAATGAGGGCTGAGTCACCAAATTGGTTGAAAGAAATTAAGAATCCGAGTGGTTTTTGGGGTCAGATCGGGTGAAAACCATGGTGCATGAGCCAGGTGAATGCACACTGAAGGTTCATCAGAGTGACAGGGAGGAGATGAGGAAAAGGTTTGTGAACAATGATAAGGATCATTGGAAGAGCTGAAAGGAATAGAAACGTTATGAGATGTCAGAGGGAAAGCAGAGATGTTCACTGTATGAACTTCTGATTCCAGTTTTGATCGTCAGCTACTCACCAACAGAGACTGATGCACAACAAACAGATCTGAACTAAACCAGAGATRTAAACTGCTGGTTTTGGGGTGATTTACTGTCTTCTTTCACATTATACTGTTAATTTAAACCATTGCCAAGCAAGAATGCAAAACACGTCAAGTCTCTCTCTCTGACTACAATGATACATTTTTGACTGCTATGCAAAAAAACAAATACCAAGCTTTCAGCTGTTTAACTGTGTAGGCAGTAATGCCATTAAACCACTAAAACCTCTGGGACTATCAAGTGTCCAAGATGTGATACCCAGTGGGAAAGACTTCATTCCAGGCAGCTACAATTGCTGTTACTAGGTACATATAGAGAATGAAGTTCTGGATGATCATAAAAGACAGATTTTAATGAATGATTAAATAAATAATGAGAACTTTGATTCTACATAGCTTTTGRCTCATGATTGTAAAAGGTTTTYCTGTGAGTTTGAACAAGAGCAACTRGAACCAAAGTAGAGACATGTACCGTCTCCCTTTTAGGTTTCTCCTTTACATAGTAATTATTGCAGGAATATTCCTGTGAAAGCTTCTGGGACCTCTTTGATTTCCATGGCCTTAAGTTAGAGCTGGAAGAGCTCCTGGGATGCACTGGTGAACCAACACATCCTGTGTGCTGTGCGTTCCATTTTACAAACCTCAGTTTGAGCTCAGGGTGTGTAACCAATCCACACGTGCCATGGGCCATGGTTYTATTTGCATTACAAATTATGCTGCTCCTGCCTTGGTGGTATCATTTCTACTCCATGCATTTAAAACTCCTTGAGTTTTCTGCTGGTTAAGTGTCCCTGGTTGAAATGGGGCTGACTAAAAGCTGATGCCATTCTCTCTTATCAGAGGTTTTGTACAGAGCAAGAGACTTGCACAGTTGAGTTTTGCCTCACACTTTGAATTTTTTCCCTTTTTATTTTTTGGAAAGGGAATTTATCTAAAGTCAAGATCCGTTTAATCACAGTCTAACTTAATAATCCCAGTAGAGATCTTTTTATTTCATGTTGTATTTTCAGAAGAAGATTAAATAAAAAGTATTGATKAAGGAGATTCTATTTCTGGTGCAGCAGAGTTCTGCTAAATTTAACACAAAAATAAAATCAATATATGAATTTCAGAGTGTGGAATATTTAGCTTCTAGAACTCTATCAGCTTGATGCAAAACCAGATGGCTTTAATCAACGACTCAGATACTTATCTCCCTTTCCAAATGCTTTCAACTCAAAAGTTTAAAATTATCCAGAAACTTTCCTCCTTGTGAGCATGGTCTAATCCAGTTCCACTGAACTTGCTGGATATATAAATTAAATTCTCACAGGCTGTGGGGTGAACTATGAAGGAGCTCTAATGAGTGCCTGCAGTCTCGTTTGGTTTTGACCAAATTTCACCAAAGGAAAAATGTCTCAAGTTGTCTGCTGTGTTTTTTTCTCTGAAAATACTTTCCTTCCCCTTTTATATTTCTCTTCTTCTAAAGAATATTATATTTCTTCTATATATTCTTCTAAAGAATAAATATTTCTCTTCCAAAAAGATGATGAAGTGTGGAACAAATCATCCAATTTACATATTAAACTTAATTTCTATGGTGCCAGTTTTGTGCCATTTCTAATTTCAYCCTAGTCACCAGTGCCCATGACTATTCTAAAATAAATCACTGAATGCTCTGACCCTTGCATTTCTTATGGTTCTTTCTTTGAATATTCCTGCAGATGAGCATTTACCCACCTCCCTGAAATGCATCACTATAACTGAGTGAAAAATCCCTGGAGGAATACAGAAACAGACAGATCTGAAATATGTGTGATCCCTGACAGACACAGAGGGAATAAGAATGCCAGTCCCAGATATCAGCATCCACTGACAATTTGATTGATTAGTACTTCAAAAATTGGGTTTTTTCCTAGAAGAGAAATCAGAATTTCCTCAGGCAGAACCCTGAGATTTTTGTAGTGGTGRGTGTTCCTAGGGTYAGACTCTGGCTCTTGCTTTAGGTGRGAATGGAGCAGTGCCAGGCAYTGTGATCCAACAAATGGGTTAAAGGGGAAAAGCTTCAAGTGTTTCAGAGCTTTGGAAACATCCTTGCAACCTGAGAGAACATTTGTTTATTATTTTATTAGGCATACAATAAAGGATTTTTTTGTAGCTTATAAGTAATTTATCAGCATCAGTGCATTGTGCTCTAACATACAGGATCAGAGCAACAGTGATGTGAGGTTRGGATTTGAAATCTGCGTGAAACAATGCAGGATACTCAACACTGATGAATCAATCAATGTTCCTGACAACCTGAGGTTCCCTGACATAAATGTTTAAAGAGGAAAAAGTCTCTAAGAAGACAGGCTTCCTGAAAAAATAATGGGAAAATGAAGCAAAAACTGATTTTAAGAGCCTTCTGCAACTCCATGACTACAGCTAATGAAAATGTGAACACAGTAATTTACTGAGTTTGATAAAGTGCATATTGAGAAATAGAAGTCTCCTCATGTATATTGCATATTAAATGGATGAGAAAAGTTTTAATCCATGTTATTAATGTTTTGGGTCGTGCAGGGTTTTTTAAACTAAATTAAAAAATTCAAATGTCCAGAAACCATGGTAACCATGTATATCCAGTAAAGTGTTATTAATTTCTGCACATTATATAATCTACACATTAATATTTAAGGTTGGATGCAGCCCAAAAATAATTCTTATGAGAGCATAAACCTTAATTATTTCATGATGTATAATATTCTCATTAAATGGTTTTCACATTCTTTGGGAGAGTCTACATTAGGACTTTCTGAAGTTTGGCAGTCAGTGCCAAAGCATGGCCCTGGTTCAAGGCTCTGGATGGAAGACATCCATGGAAAATAAATGTGTGTAA